GTGTGTGTGTGTGTGTGTGTGTGTGTGTGTGTGTGTGTGTGTGTGTGTGTCTGGTTTTCATTGGGTCAGAAAACATGCTAGGATTACACTGATACCCTGCTGAGTATCAATGCCCACTGACTGTTTAATCAAATCTTCACATAGATTAAATCACTGGTAGCTGTCTGTCTTCTAAAATTTCTCCTACATTCTGTTCTTCACATTTCACTGTTATAAAGATGCTCATTCTCCTTGCTTTGTATTGGGAGAAGAGATACTTAAACAGGGAAATTTGTAAGACTTTAAGGCTGTGCATTTAAAGCTTAGCCCCAGATTTTTTACTTCAATTTATAGCATGTTAATTTGGACAGAGGTTGAATCTCCATTGTCTTACTAAAACTAAGGATATGAAACATCTAATACATGTCAACACCAAGCGATGAAAGAATCAGATACCTGACATTGTGTTTGGTAAATATTGGGCATGTGATTGTGATTAATTCATTCCAATATTAAGACGTTTTTCTGGGATAGCCCTTACTTGGGTTTAGATTTGGAAAGGAGAAAAAGAGAGTGGCTACAGCAAATGGAAACACTTTTCCCTCTGTATGTCAGAAGAGGGATGCAGATGGGTTACAGAAAAAGATTCACACATTGAATTTTACCCGCAGGCTGCAGCTTGTTGCTTGCGGCTCTCCTAGGTCTTCTTGGCCTTTTCCAGGCAGGGATACAGAGCCATGATTAACTGTTTGCCTCTCACTGGACTGCATCAGGAAAAATTTAGTAAATGACTATGCCAGGGGTCAAAGCAGAGGCCACAGTTTCATATATCTGGAAGCCTGAAATGTTTCCTTTTTAGTAGGGTACGATTCTTTATAAGTGACTTTTTAATTCTGTATAAAATATTAGCCACGTATGTCTCTTCACTGTGTTGTTGCTTCAATTACTGAGAAGTACTGAGAAGCTACAATGGAGTATGTTCCTTTAGGCTCTGTGCTTATGCTTATTTTTTAACTTCTCAGAGATGGCTTGGCTTAGCTATCTTATGGGACCTTTCAGAAAATTCCATAGGATATAGTATAGAAAAGTAACTTAGAATATGTAGAGTAATATAAGTGTAGAGAACGTTATTAAAGAATCTTATTAGATTTTTGTGGATAATGTTTGCTCCCCCCCCCTTAGTAACTAACTGCCCAGGAGTATTTTCTTTGGCTTACAGCATTTATTTTTCCACATCTTTTTATGTGAAATAATTACCAAAAAGACATTGTGTCTCTGTAGAAGACCCAGAGGACTCTAATTTAGGTGATGTTTTCTCTACACTTTCATATGATGTAAGTAGAAATGAGAAGCAATCATAAAAGGTTCAGTGTAAATTGTTTTGGGAACAGACAGATCAGGATTTATCATCCAGTTTCCATTTGTTATAGATCTGTAATACAAAGGAGAGCAAAATCCCCTTGCAGATTAACGAAGGTGTCAACAGAGATTCTCATTTCTCAAGTGGAACCCTTTTTACACTGTGGTAACTTTAGGAGTCAGGTCTAAACCTCATTAAACTTACTGTGTGTTGTACACATACAACCTAATTCAATTCTGTAAAAACAGGCAAATAGGCCGTCAATGTAAATTAAATCCAAAAGCAAACAAGTGTCGCTATCATACTATGTTACCTTAGCATTTGTCTTATAAATGGAATAGTGAATTAAACTGTTAATTTCAGTAGCAATATTAGAAAAACAAATCCCAAGCTGTAGGAGTCACAAAGAGGAGAATGTGAGTTACAGTAGGCTCCAACCTGCCTCTTTCTGAGGTTCACGTTATGGTCGACATACTTAAATTTCCCAAAACTATTTTGTCTACATTTCCCATCTCCGAATTTACATTTGGACTCCATTGCTAAGCTTCTTTAAAGTGTTCTTCTCACCATGACCACGGACATGCCAAGTACGCCAGTGACGGCCCCTACTCAGCACCTTTCAGAATTTAAAGCTTTCAGAGTCCTCATGAGGGCGCAAAAGCACCACACATTTTAATTAATGAACCCAACCTGCCGACCAGTTGCCCCCTCTAGCCATTCTGTCTACACTGCCCCCTCCTGTCAAACATTCTGAACTGCAGTCAAATTCATCTATTTAATATTGTTTATGTCAGTGTGGCTGTTTCGACTTATAAACTTTGGAATTTTATGTTTAGTTCCTTTTTCGAACCAGAGGACAGTGTTCCATCCCTTAGTATTTCACTGACATGAACCTTTCCCAAAGACTGACTTCTAGCCCCTCTGCTCACAGTAAATAATATTGTTATAGGATTAATGGATGCAGCTTTAACACTATGTTCCGCAGTACTGTTGCTTGATAAAAAGATGACTCATCCTGCTAACATATACTGTCTATTTCCCCATACCCAGTGCAATACTTGGAACAAAGTATGCACTCGACAAGTTGTTCAATAAGTGTTTATTGAATGGAGGACCCTTGGTAATAAAAGGAAGGCAGTGTATCCTCTGTCATCACAATGAGTTTTACCGCACTCCTGATTCTTTTAAGGGAAAAAATAGCCTCTGATAATACCTTGGAGGCTGTGCATAGTTTACACTTAATAAATACCACTGAGTTGGGGTCTTTTGTTATTTTCATGTTCATACAGTTAAATCTGTTCTTCATCATCTATAATGAAGATGCGGTGATATGTACTATATAATATGACCAAGTAAATTACTAAACTCTAAGAGAACAATTCACATAATTGATGTTTCAGTCTTAAGGACTGTCCCATGTAGGGAGGGGACAATGAGAATCTGGACAAGTAATTTGGCTCATGCCACTCACATCACACTTTGGACATGTAAAAGGGTCAGCCGGTAAGCTTCTTTAATTTGTTTTATGTGAAATACATATTTTAATGCCAATTTATCCCTCAGTAAATTATCCCCACAACTAGCAGCAGTATGTTTTCCTCTTGGTAGTGTGTCTTGTGACAAGGAGTTAATTAACTCTCTCAGGCTTTCAAAGTCAGCTTTTCCAATGGAGAAATAATTGAGAGATGCAGAAGGTATCTCTTAAATTGGTGAAAAGATTCAGTAAAATGTCTGTTAACTTTTATAATATGTCTTTTAATTATCTTTGGAATATGTGAAGATTTAACATGTGCCCGCTGGTTTGAACTACCACTGGAACACGCACCACTGCTATGTCAGGTGGTTTTTTAATTAATTTTATTAGTAAAAATACCAATAAAGGTGCTTAGATCCGTTTGTACCACCAATGGTGCATGGCGCCCGATGGCACGGTCATGCATGTACCGCTGGTGATTCAAGATGTCTGGCATACATATTACAGCCCCATCACAAACACGTTAATGACTCTAAGATGAACTCCAAGCCATGTTTTCAGCTTGTGATCCTGGGCGTGGCTTTTCTGGAGGACATTGTCCAGAGAAAAAGACCTTAAGAATCTACCCAAAGCCTCCTTTCCCCATTGTTCTTCTGATCTTTCCTGTAGCCACTTGTAAATTACTGTTCTCTAGTCAGATTGCTATTTTGCTCTCCTTTGAAGACCTCATTTGAAAACCTTACTTTTTCTGTCCTTCGTGCCTGAAACTTATTTCCCCAGATAGACCAGGTAGTTTCCTTCTTGTCTCCAGTAAGTCTTTTTAAAATACCACCTTATCTGTGGGATCTTCCTTGGCCACCCTGTTTAATCTTTAATGTCTTCCCCAACTCAAATTGCTCATCTTGCCTTTCTGTGTTATTGTTCTCCACAGAATTTGCCTCCAACATGCCATATATTGTAATTATTCATTTTGTTTGCAGTTTGACTTTCTCTTAGCAGTATGTATTTCTGGTTTACTACTATTTAACAGAAACCAAGATGTCCATCTCTGGATAAAAACAAAGAGATTTTTCATAGTAGAATTAAAAGCCAAACTTATGAACACAATATGAAGTTAATAGAATGTGGTTTCT